ATTAAGCAGACAACACCAGTATAGGATTCTCCGTCCTCTGCTGGTGAGGCAGCTTTTTTTTCCCCTTAAAAGCCAAAGAACGGGAGCCCCCAGACCCTGCTAGGTGGGAGGATGACGAAGTGAGGGGCTGTCCCTGCGGCACACCACATGACAAGCCCTGGTCCCTGTACAGTCACGCAGGCTCGGAGCCTCTGGGCTCCTGCCTCCCCTGCTTGCTGTAGGTTGAATGAGATGATACCAGCTGTTTGATGAGGAAGCTCCATGATAGATGCTCAAGAATGCTTGAGAAATGTTCGCCATTCTGACCATTATTGCTGTTGTTCATCCAGTGCCTGGCACACAGCAAGTGCTCAATATATGTTCATTAATTCACCCTGGGCCCTGAGGCCACAGGGGACTGTAGGAGGTACTGAGCAGAGCAGTGGGGTGCGGTGGGGGCTGTTGGGTGGGCCAGCTCCTGGCCGGGTAGTGTGGTGGGGGTGGCTCTGCAGCCCCTGGGACCCTTGGATTGGTTTTCTCCCCTAGCTGGCCTGCTGAGAAAATGATGGACTGTATCATCACTGACCTAGTTCCCTGTCTCTGTTCCTCTAAGGTGCCCAAGGCTGCCCATCGGGGAGCTAATCGGCTTCAAGTGCCTGCACTTGGCAGTGCAGAAGGGGCGCTGCCCATGTGCAGCCCGGGCATTCAGGGAACCGGGGTTTTGGTGTGGGTCTGAAACCCAGCTGTGGCTCCGGGCCCTTGTGGGTGCGGGTCTTGTGTCAGGCTCGCCATGTTGCTCGGATGACTCTGCCCCTGTTTCTGTGCGTGCCATCGGTGGTTGGGTCGGTTGCTCTCTGAGGACTCAGTGCGGTTGTCTGTGACCCTGACAAGAGTGAGGGTCTGCGTGACGAGTCAGGCAAGGTGGCGAGTCCCAGTCGCAGGGACTTGGGTGCCAGGTGGGGGACTGAGTTTCTCTGAAAGACAATGCAGAGCCAAGGGTGCCCACCCTTGCAGAGCCAGCACTCAAGCCCTTGCCTGCCCTGTGACCTAGAAAGCCCCGTACTACCGTACTACCGTCTTGGGCCTCTGCCCTCCCTCAGATTGTCCCAGCTCCCTGGAGCTCCGCCTGGCCCTCATCACAGAGTTCTTCAGTGCCTGCGACTAATGGTGGGGGCGTCAGGCCTTGGGCCAGGCTACGGAGTGGCTCGGCCGAGACCTTGACTCCCTCTGACAGTCTCCGTTCCCCTGCTACGGGGCCTGGGTCAGCTTCAGGGAGGGCTGGTGCCTTTGATCCCCAGGCCAGTGGGGAGTGTGTCAGGAACTGCAGGCAGCGACGCCAGCTCTGGCCTGACTTCTGAGCCTCACAGGCTCCTGGAAAGGACCCAGACTCTGCCATCTGGGATTTCCCCGAGTGCCTTGGGGCAGGGCTGAGTCCGTCTCTGGGTGTCTGTAGCTGAGCAATCTAGAGGTGAAAGCCGCTCCATCTGCGCCCTTGAGGGATTCAGTGCCGCAGGAGAGCTGGGTGAGCAACTCGCAGCGCCACCCACCGGCTGCAGGAACCACAGAACCGTTTGGGCAGCTCACTGACTGTGACCTTTGGCAGGTCACTCCAGCTCTCCAGGCCTGTTTTCCCCATCTGTCCCCAGTGGGCTGTGTTAGAGCCAGGGCTGTGTCCCCGGGGACCTGGCTTGCTGTAGTCACGGTTACTGCCCAGTTCATCACTGTGATAGGAGGGAGCTAGACTAGGTGCAGAGGGAGTACTTCCAGAGAGGAAGCTGGTAAATGGGGGAAGGAGCTTCAGAGGAAGCTTCAGAAGAAGTGACAAATGAACTGGGTTGTGAAGGATGAGTAAGAGTTTGGTAGAGATGGTAGAAGGAACTGCATGGAAGGGTATGCTTGGGGACAGCAAGAAGTTCAGTGTGTGCCAAGGCCAGTGGGAGATGAGGCCAGAAGAGGTCACTGAAGTCAGTGTGCTGGAGACCTTGGATGTCAGGTTTGGGAAGGTGATGGGGAGCCATGGAAGGTTTTTGAGCAGAGGCGAGGCATAATCAGAGTTGTGCTTCAGGCAGATTAATCTGTCAGTGGCAAGTGGCTTGGGGGCAAGAAAAGCAGGCTCTGTTTTTGTATCTCAGCTCTGCCTTTTTCCAGTTGGTAACCTTGGACGAATCATGTTCCCCTCGGGGTCTCACTTTCTTCATTTGTACATGGAACTTATACAGCACTGTGAGGATTAAACGAGGTAACATCCGCAGAGTGTTAAGACAGTGTTGGGCACACAGCAAGTGTGTGGGGCAGACTGAAGGGGTAAAGACCAGAGCTTGGGGGCCAGGGGAGGGGGCTGTGCAGGGTCCAGGTGAAAGGTGCTGAGGGTGAGGGTAGGCTGGGGCTTCAGGGGAAGGAGGGGGAAGTCACAGGCAGGGACAGGCCGTGAGCCACAGAGAGCGCTGACCCTGGAGCCCAGCAGGCCTGGTGTGAATATCGGCTCTGGTACTTCCCAGCTGCGTGACCGAGGAGGTTCCCCTAGTTTCTCTGAGCCTCAGTTTTCTTCATCTGTAACATGGGCCTGCTGACCTCCACTGCTCAGAGCCCTGGTGAGGAAGAAATGGGGTGCCAAGCTCCTGGGAAACACGTGCTAAGTGCACTTTGAACCGAAACTGGCAGGAAGGGCAGAGGAGTAGAAGAGACAGCTGGCAGGAGAAAGAGCCTGACAGGCAGGGGGAAAAGGCAAGGGGGGTGGGGGACATTCGCTGGTAATTAGAACGTGTGAACTTCAAAAAGTTAATTAATGATGAAGCTGCTGTTGCAGCGATGCTCAGGCTAGAAGGGGGCCCTGGCAGCAACTGGAATTAATTACAGGCTGTGGCGGGAGAGTGGCAGCGGGGTTGCGGGGCAGGAAGGAGCAGGGCTGGGTGAGGAGGGTCTGGGGGAGGCTGGAAGGAAGGCAGCATCCAAGGTGAGCCAGGGCCTGGGCATGAGAGGGAGGCTGTTGCCAGGGAAACCAGGTCAGTTTCCTAGGAGGCAAGAGGTGCTCACCCGCCGCTGGGTGGGGTCTGGTGAGGGTCTGGCTGGTGCGGCTACGTCTGAGCGTAGAGCAAGGGCTTTGTACTGAAGGGCCGGGGTCTCATTTGGAGACACTCAAGAATCGCTGCGTGTCAGAGTGGGCAGGGCCCACAGAGATTTACTTATTCGTGTAATGTTTATTGGGTTCCTACTAGATGCCTCTCGGTGTTAGAGCTGTGAACGCAAAGCCCCTGTCCCCTTGGCAGTAGCTTCTAGCTGTGGATGAAGACAAGAGGCATGTCAACCAAACAGCTTGAGGGCCCAAGTGCCCAGAAGACCGTAAAGCTGGGAGAGGTGGGGGTCGGGGTGGAGAAGTTGGGTGGGGACTTCTCAGGGACGGTCACAGTGAAGCTGCAGAGTCAGAAAGAGCAGCCCTTGAGGTTCTTGAGAAGTCTCCTAGGTAGGGAACAGCATGTGCAAAAGCCCTGGGGGTGCATGTGCCCGGTGTGTCTGAGGAGCAGCCAGAGGCCTGTGAGGCCGGAGGGGAAGGAGCGAGGGCGAGGGCAGGACATGCGATGTTGGGGCTGGGAGGTGGGGCCTTGCGGACCGCAGAGACAGCTTTGAGGTTTATGCAGAGAGAGACAGGGGACCAGGGCAGGGTTTGAGCAGGGGTGGGTGGTGATCTCACTCATCTTGTCAACAGCTCAGTGCTGCTGCCGGGAGGGTGGACCTGAGGGGCCAGAGCAGACCCGGTGGGGCCAGCGAGGAGGCTCCTGGTCCTCCACTTGGGAGCTTGCAGAGATTCAGAGATGGAAGCAGCTTGCCTGAGACCCCAGAGCCAGTCAGGGCTGCGGCTGGAGTTCAAACGCAGGCCCCTGGTTTCCTGCCCGTACAGCACCAGCATTGCTCTCCTGTTCCCTACTGCGATCTCGGGCGCAGGAAGGGGAGACGCGTACGCAGTGTATGGTGAGTCTTTCAGCACCCCGCTCTTACAGAACCTGCCTCAGTCCATTTGGGTCACCCTCTCTCCAACTCAGATTTTCTGAGGACCCGGGACTCTGTCAAGGTGGGCAGCATTTTGGGGGATTTGACCACGCCTCAGCTTTCTCATCTGTGTAAAAGCGGTGGGGGCTGTGAGTGACCTGGGCCCTGAAGCCCCTGTGGCCTCTTCTATGGCTCTAGGTGGATTGAGAATGGTGGGACCAGACAGCAGTGGGCTGTGTTCTAAGCCTGGGCAGAAGTCGGTCAGGAAGGAGCAGGGTGTTCATGAGGAGAGCAGCCTGTGGGGGCAGGGATGGGGAGCAGGGGGAGCCCTCTCTTCCTGGACCCAAGCACCTGCCCCAGAGGCTCTGCCCAAAGCTGGTGGCTGCAGGAGACTTTCTGCCTGGCCAGACCTGTGGAGGCTGAGCCCCACCCGGCTCTGTGCAGGGGCCGGGCAGGACCTAGGCACAGGCATTCTGGAGTCTGGCAATGAGTTCTAACCCCGGCTATGGGACAGCTTAGGGGCGTCCAGCCAGTTACACACACTGGACGGGCCCTCTGAAGGTGCCAGCTCCAAACCTTGGCAGAGTCAGAGGGGGCATGTGTCAGGGGAGGGGAGACATGGGCAGAGAAGGGAGGCAGTGACAGAGGGAGGTGGTAGGAGGTGGAGGGGCAAAGATAGATAGTCCAGAAATGAATGGACTGCCAGCTGGGCCTCTGCAGACCCCTCCCTTCCTGGGCCAGAGAGGAACTCTCAGGCTGGGGCAAGGAGGTGCAAGGGGGTTCTGGCAGGCTTTGTGGGTTGTGGGGTCTCTGGTGGGCCTGGCATGGGCAGCCATGTCTGTTGTGAGGCGAGTAGGCTGGCTTCACGTTCTCTAGTGGCTTTGAAAACTTGGGCATAGACCCATTCGGGGAAGGCACCTGGAGGGGAATGCGTGTTTGTCTGTGTTTCTGGTGGGTGGGCATATATCATTCCAGGGCGCACTCAAATGCTCAAGGCCACAGCCCCGCCTACCGTTTGTCCTTAACTTGGTGTGCACGTGGTTTGAGTGTGTCAGCATGCTGGTGATCCTGCTGAACTGCGTGACACTTGGCATGTACCAGCCGTGCGATGACATGGACTGCCTGTCGGACCGCTGCAAGATTCTGCAGGTGAGGCCTCCCTCCCCACCCCTGTGCCAGTAGAGCACAAGTGACCCTGGCACTCCTCTGCCTAAAGCCTGCCCCTCGCTCCCCAGGGCTCTGGGAGTAAAGGCCCTGCTCCTGACTTGCTCTCCCTGCCCTTTAGGAGCAGACCTGCAGAGCCTCTCCTGTTTCCATCTCCACGGTCCCAGGTGGGGGACCTAACCTTTGGTATCTGCGTGACCCAGTGCAGTGCACGTCTACTGGAAGTGCAGGGTGTTAGGGTTATACCCATTTTACAGATGTGGAAACAGTGCCATCTCCCTGGGAGAGCCAGGTTCCCTCCAGGAGGAATTGCCCTCTGCCTCCTGTGTTTCCACAGGCCTCAGCAGTTCCCACGCAGCTCAGGGCCTCAGAATCCCCCGGGGCATTGGTTAAAGATCCCGCCACCTGGTCTGTCCCAAACCTGCTGAGTCAGAATCTCTGGGATGGGTCTGGGGTCTGAGTGGGTAACAAGCCGCTCTGCCAGCCTCAGCTCCTGGGTGGAGTTGGAACCGATTAGCTTCAGCCGGTACCTGGCTGGCTTCCTGAATAGGTGGTGAGTTCACGAAGGACTCACTGCGTGTCCCTGACCAGCCTCTGTCTCAGCACCTATTTGTTGAATTGAATTGACTGGTGCCCTCATGATCCTTGAACAGAGAAGTGCCCCCAGGCCCTGTCCTCACCCGAGGACGTATATACATGCACGTTCCCCTGAGCCCATGGTTAGGCCACACTGGGGCCCCCTTTGTGAGCAGAAGAACCACTGAGCTCTGTGGTTGGGGGCACGGGGGGCTAGTGGTGTCAGGCCTGTTTTGAGAAAATGCCTTCCATGGGGCACTGGAGTCAGATAGACCTGGACTTCAGTTCTGGTTCTGCCACTTAACTTCTGTGCGACCTGAGGCAAGCCCCTTAACCTCTCTGAGTCTGTTTCCTTGCCTGTGAAATGGGGCTATCTGTAGGGTCATTGCGAGAATTAGAAAAGAGAATGCAGGTCAAGTGTCTTGCTCGGTGCTCGGCAATTGCTGGGGAGAGCACTTAGCCTCGCCCCCATGTGGCTCCCTTGTCAGTACGCCTGTTTTAGGGAACAAACACAATGGGCTGTATGACCTTGGTCAAGTCCATTCTCCTCTCTGGGCCCCAGTGTCCTCAGCTGTGAGATGACTGCATTGGATCAGGATCTCTGAGGTTCTCCTCCTGCCGAAGGAAGTCTCCGGGTCTCTCCCAGGCCCTCGCGCCCACGCCCGCACCCCTGCCTCACGCTGTGGCTCCGGCCCCAGGTCCTGCCCTGGAACTTCACTCCGCCCCTGTTTCTTGCCCTCCTCTTGCCCTTGCAGGTCTTTGATGACTTCATCTTCGTCTTCTTTGCCATGGAGATGGTGCTCAAGATGGTGGCCTTGGGCATTTTTGGCAAGAAATGCTACCTTGGGGACACATGGAACCGACTGGATTTCTTCATTGTCATGGCAGGGTATGTAGTGTACACCAGATAGGTCTTAGCCTCTGGTGTACACCAAACATGATTTAAATGATTGTAGGCCTTCTTGGTGATAATCACGAAGCTGTGTGGTAGTGCACACGGCGCTCGTGGACCCTTGGGGCGGGAGGAACGATGCCTCTGCCGAGCAGCCCAGACAGACATTCCCTCCTCCGCACTCCGGTGGGTGGTGTGTCCTCCTGCACTGTAGCTCTGGTACTTCCCAGCTGCGTGACCGAGGAGGTTCCCCTAGTTTCTCTGAGCCTCAGTTTTCTTCATCTGTAACATGGGCCTGCTGACCTCCACTGCTCAGAGCCCTGGTGAGGAAGAAATGGGGTGCCAAGCTCCTGGGAAACACGTGCTAAGTGCACTTTGAACCGAAACTGGCAGGAAGGGCAGAGGAGTAGAAGAGACAGCTGGCAGGAGAAAGAGCCTGACAGGCAGGGGGAAAAGGCAAGGGGGGTGGGGGACATTCGCTGGTAATTAGAACGTGTGAACTTCAAAAAGTTAATTAATGATGAAGCTGCTGTTGCAGCGATGCTCAGGCTAGAAGGGGGCCCTGGCAGCAACTGGAATTAATTACAGGCTGTGGCGGGAGAGTGGCAGCGGGGTTGCGGGGCAGGAAGGAGCAGGGCTGGGTGAGGAGGGTCTGGGGGAGGCTGGAAGGAAGGCAGCATCCAAGGTGAGCCAGGGCCTGGGCATGAGAGGGAGGCTGTTGCCAGGGAAACCAGGTCAGTTTCCTAGGAGGCAAGAGGTGCTCACCCGCCGCTGGGTGGGGTCTGGTGAGGGTCTGGCTGGTGCGGCTACGTCTGAGCGTAGAGCAAGGGCTTTGTACTGAAGGGCCGGGGTCTCATTTGGAGACACTCAAGAATCGCTGCGTGTCAGAGTGGGCAGGGCCCACAGAGATTTACTTATTCGTGTAATGTTTATTGGGTTCCTACTAGATGCCTCTCGGTGTTAGAGCTGTGAACGCAAAGCCCCTGTCCCCTTGGCAGTAGCTTCTAGCTGTGGATGAAGACAAGAGGCATGTCAACCAAACAGCTTGAGGGCCCAAGTGCCCAGAAGACCGTAAAGCTGGGAGAGGTGGGGGTCGGGGTGGAGAAGTTGGGTGGGGACTTCTCAGGGACGGTCACAGTGAAGCTGCAGAGTCAGAAAGAGCAGCCCTTGAGGTTCTTGAGAAGTCTCCTAGGTAGGGAACAGCATGTGCAAAAGCCCTGGGGGTGCATGTGCCCGGTGTGTCTGAGGAGCAGCCAGAGGCCTGTGAGGCCGGAGGGGAAGGAGCGAGGGCGAGGGCAGGACATGCGATGTTGGGGCTGGGAGGTGGGGCCTTGCGGACCGCAGAGACAGCTTTGAGGTTTATGCAGAGAGAGACAGGGGACCAGGGCAGGGTTTGAGCAGGGGTGGGTGGTGATCTCACTCATCTTGTCAACAGCTCAGTGCTGCTGCCGGGAGGGTGGACCTGAGGGGCCAGAGCAGACCCGGTGGGGCCAGCGAGGAGGCTCCTGGTCCTCCACTTGGGAGCTTGCAGAGATTCAGAGATGGAAGCAGCTTGCCTGAGACCCCAGAGCCAGTCAGGGCTGCGGCTGGAGTTCAAACGCAGGCCCCTGGTTTCCTGCCCGTACAGCACCAGCATTGCTCTCCTGTTCCCTACTGCGATCTCGGGCGCAGGAAGGGGAGACGCGTACGCAGTGTATGGTGAGTCTTTCAGCACCCCGCTCTTACAGAACCTGCCTCAGTCCATTTGGGTCACCCTCTCTCCAACTCAGATTTTCTGAGGACCCGGGACTCTGTCAAGGTGGGCAGCATTTTGGGGGATTTGACCACGCCTCAGCTTTCTCATCTGTGTAAAAGCGGTGGGGGCTGTGAGTGACCTGGGCCCTGAAGCCCCTGTGGCCTCTTCTATGGCTCTAGGTGGATTGAGAATGGTGGGACCAGACAGCAGTGGGCTGTGTTCTAAGCCTGGGCAGAAGTCGGTCAGGAAGGAGCAGGGTGTTCATGAGGAGAGCAGCCTGTGGGGGCAGGGATGGGGAGCAGGGGGAGCCCTCTCTTCCTGGACCCAAGCACCTGCCCCAGAGGCTCTGCCCAAAGCTGGTGGCTGCAGGAGACTTTCTGCCTGGCCAGACCTGTGGAGGCTGAGCCCCACCCGGCTCTGTGCAGGGGCCGGGCAGGACCTAGGCACAGGCATTCTGGAGTCTGGCAATGAGTTCTAACCCCGGCTATGGGACAGCTTAGGGGCGTCCAGCCAGTTACACACACTGGACGGGCCCTCTGAAGGTGCCAGCTCCAAACCTTGGCAGAGTCAGAGGGGGCATGTGTCAGGGGAGGGGAGACATGGGCAGAGAAGGGAGGCAGTGACAGAGGGAGGTGGTAGGAGGTGGAGGGGCAAAGATAGATAGTCCAGAAATGAATGGACTGCCAGCTGGGCCTCTGCAGACCCCTCCCTTCCTGGGCCAGAGAGGAACTCTCAGGCTGGGGCAAGGAGGTGCAAGGGGGTTCTGGCAGGCTTTGTGGGTTGTGGGGTCTCTGGTGGGCCTGGCATGGGCAGCCATGTCTGTTGTGAGGCGAGTAGGCTGGCTTCACGTTCTCTAGTGGCTTTGAAAACTTGGGCATAGACCCATTCGGGGAAGGCACCTGGAGGGGAATGCGTGTTTGTCTGTGTTTCTGGTGGGTGGGCATATATCATTCCAGGGCGCACTCAAATGCTCAAGGCCACAGCCCCGCCTACCGTTTGTCCTTAACTTGGTGTGCACGTGGTTTGAGTGTGTCAGCATGCTGGTGATCCTGCTGAACTGCGTGACACTTGGCATGTACCAGCCGTGCGATGACATGGACTGCCTGTCGGACCGCTGCAAGATTCTGCAGGTGAGGCCTCCCTCCCCACCCCTGTGCCAGTAGAGCACAAGTGACCCTGGCACTCCTCTGCCTAAAGCCTGCCCCTCGCTCCCCAGGGCTCTGGGAGTAAAGGCCCTGCTCCTGACTTGCTCTCCCTGCCCTTTAGGAGCAGACCTGCAGAGCCTCTCCTGTTTCCATCTCCACGGTCCCAGGTGGGGGACCTAACCTTTGGTATCTGCGTGACCCAGTGCAGTGCACGTCTACTGGAAGTGCAGGGTGTTAGGGTTATACCCATTTTACAGATGTGGAAACAGTGCCATCTCCCTGGGAGAGCCAGGTTCCCTCCAGGAGGAATTGCCCTCTGCCTCCTGTGTTTCCACAGGCCTCAGCAGTTCCCACGCAGCTCAGGGCCTCAGAATCCCCCGGGGCATTGGTTAAAGATCCCGCCACCTGGTCTGTCCCAAACCTGCTGAGTCAGAATCTCTGGGATGGGTCTGGGGTCTGAGTGGGTAACAAGCCGCTCTGCCAGCCTCAGCTCCTGGGTGGAGTTGGAACCGATTAGCTTCAGCCGGTACCTGGCTGGCTTCCTGAATAGGTGGTGAGTTCACGAAGGACTCACTGCGTGTCCCTGACCAGCCTCTGTCTCAGCACCTATTTGTTGAATTGAATTGACTGGTGCCCTCATGATCCTTGAACAGAGAAGTGCCCCCAGGCCCTGTCCTCACCCGAGGACGTATATACATGCACGTTCCCCTGAGCCCATGGTTAGGCCACACTGGGGCCCCCTTTGTGAGCAGAAGAACCACTGAGCTCTGTGGTTGGGGGCACGGGGGGCTAGTGGTGTCAGGCCTGTTTTGAGAAAATGCCTTCCATGGGGCACTGGAGTCAGATAGACCTGGACTTCAGTTCTGGTTCTGCCACTTAACTTCTGTGCGACCTGAGGCAAGCCCCTTAACCTCTCTGAGTCTGTTTCCTTGCCTGTGAAATGGGGCTATCTGTAGGGTCATTGCGAGAATTAGAAAAGAGAATGCAGGTCAAGTGTCTTGCTCGGTGCTCGGCAATTGCTGGGGAGAGCACTTAGCCTCGCCCCCATGTGGCTCCCTTGTCAGTACGCCTGTTTTAGGGAACAAACACAATGGGCTGTATGACCTTGGTCAAGTCCATTCTCCTCTCTGGGCCCCAGTGTCCTCAGCTGTGAGATGACTGCATTGGATCAGGATCTCTGAGGTTCTCCTCCTGCCGAAGGAAGTCTCCGGGTCTCTCCCAGGCCCTCGCGCCCACGCCCGCACCCCTGCCTCACGCTGTGGCTCCGGCCCCAGGTCCTGCCCTGGAACTTCACTCCGCCCCTGTTTCTTGCCCTCCTCTTGCCCTTGCAGGTCTTTGATGACTTCATCTTCGTCTTCTTTGCCATGGAGATGGTGCTCAAGATGGTGGCCTTGGGCATTTTTGGCAAGAAATGCTACCTTGGGGACACATGGAACCGACTGGATTTCTTCATTGTCATGGCAGGGTATGTAGTGTACACCAGATAGGTCTTAGCCTCTGGTGTACACCAAACATGATTTAAATGATTGTAGGCCTTCTTGGTGATAATCACGAAGCTGTGTGGTAGTGCACACGGCGCTCGTGGACCCTTGGGGCGGGAGGAACGATGCCTCTGCCGAGCAGCCCAGACAGACATTCCCTCCTCCGCACTCCGGTGGGTGGTGTGTCCTCCTGCACTGTCTGCTGACACTGGGTCTGTTTTACACTAACTGACCTTGAGAAAGCCACTTAACCTCTCTAAGCCTCAGTTTCCTCATCTTTAAAATGGGGTTAATTATTATAGGTGCATCAAAATGAGCACCCAATAAAAATGCTAGCTATTTTTGTTATTATCCTAGATCACTCATCAGGTCCGAGGTACAGCACAGACTCAAGTGCTGTCTGACCCCAAACTGTGCTTACTTCTGCTAAGACACAGCTATGATCAGAGAGAGGCCAGGTCGCAACTTAGCTCATCAGGAGGCCTTGGGGCCTGCTCTGTGCCTTGTTCCTGCTTGCCTGGGTGGGACCAGGCTAGTGGTCCATCCATGCATTCATCCAGCAGCCAGGGGTGGGATGAGCTCCTGCTGAGTGTCAGCACTGTCCTACATGAGGGACATGGGCTCAGAAAACCCAGA